ACACGCGTATACGTTATATTCCCTCCGACTTGCAGGTAAATTACTTCTACATATTATTATTAATAATATGTACACACGCATTATATTATTATAATGTACTAATACGTCGGGGTCGTTAAAATTCTGTGCAACAATACAAGAGCAATAGGTAAATTTGTCGGTTTTTTTTTTACGAAATTTCCAATATTTTGTAACGTCAAATTCGAGTGACCCTGTGTTCATATTATAATCATGCAGGTAGATTTAACTTTCCTGCGTTTCCAATTGTGTTGCATAGCTAATGAGATTTATTATTATTATTATTTTGTGTTATAATAAAAACTGTTTCAACACGTGTAAACAATAACACATTTTTTAACACGGCCGAGACGCGCGTGTAGGCATTCGCTTACCTATTGTATGAGACAAACAATCCGACAAAAAAAACTCCGACCTCTGTGCTGATCAACCGAAATCGAGAAGACAGTAAAACATTTAGTCACCAGTGTCACTATACTCGAGTTATTTTAATATCGGTACCATATTATTCGAAGACTGAAATAAAAAAAAAATTAACGTCTAACTGGCTTCAAGATATAATATAATAATATAACAATTCGGAGTTGGAATAAGTGTCGTCGAAATTATTTTAATTGAAAATGGAATTTCATTATTTCGAAACGAGTTTATTATATTACGCATATTTTATTACAATATATGTTAACTCACAAAATAATTAACGTCTACATCGTGGTCCGTTTAAAATCGTTAAAGCGATTTAATCTCCACGGATATAAGCGATACGATTTCCGTCAGGTTCAACTGTGTAGATAAAAAAAAGCGTATAGTCCGCCACCACCCGCAGTGATTTGTTCTCCGTCATAATTGAACGATGAAAAAATATATATTGAATTTCCAGAGAACGTTAATTTTTTCTTTATATATATATGGGTAATATAGATTGCTTTAATGAGAAACGTCTAACAAAAACCATGTAAAACAAATTATAACATGCACAAACAAGAGAATGCGTACGAAAATGTAATTTACTGTTTTCTGTACGTAAAAATGACACACTTTCCAATGAAGCTTTATATAAAAACGAAAATTAAATTCCCGCTACGGCGGATGTACCTGCAGTTCCGTGCAGGATTATCCGATTGTCGATGGAAAATCCACAGTTGGATATCAAATCGATATCGAATTTATTTCAAATCGAAAAGTAATCCGTCAAAATAATATAATATTTACATTACCCCGGGCGCATATCGCGCATACGTTCCTCGGAGGAATTGCATAATATAATACTATGTACAGATGTATACATAATGTTAAGACATCGGATATGTTTTTAAATTAGAAATAAAACCATACTATATAGGTCGTGTCTTTGATAATAGGTATACTGCTGCGAATCAGAATTTTCATTCCGGGAAACGGAAAAGTTAAGATTAATTTGGAACACCATACACCGAATATTAAATAACGAATTGAACAAAGTTTGAGTCACATAGAGTTGGTACAATATTATTTAACGGGCAATTAAGTGCACGGGTTCAGCTGGTTAGAAACAAAACCGTACTAAACGACGTGTCTTTGTTTTTATTATACTATATAGGTACCTAGGAGACGCCTTTATTCTATGATATTAAGACGAAAAACAAGTCTGGTCATATTGTCTGGTAATGAGTTGAGTTCGCACCACTGCAGTGCTTTGTTTGAATCAAAAGACGAATTTTTCCAAATATATACACAATGCAAGTCAATGACATTATCGTTTTGTGGATTTTGATGATTTAGTTATTCGCTTCTATGATGTGAGTAGATGAGTGATGACTGCCATGATTTTAACACTTTAGAAAATTTTAATCACTACCAAAATGGACTTAAGATATGAAATTAACAAAATCGTTTTATATAAGTATAATATTTTACATCCAACACTCAAAAAATGTATATTCGTTTTTTTTATTATTTAAATGGATAGTATATAATCGATCTGTTAAGTGCCAGCAATTGTATTATTAATAATAATATGTTATGTAAAATAGTCAATGTGTTGAACACGCTTGTGGATATTTTGTTCCTAAATTCACTGTAACCGGTCTTGGTATGCCTTTCACGCAGCCACCGTCATATCATAAAAATACAATGTAATTTCAATTATTATAATAAACGAAGAGTACTCTAATCACTTAAAAATTTAAAAACGATTAATTTGGGTACTGTGATATATTAATTATACTAATCATTAGTCAATTGTGAATAAGTGAATTCAGTAGATATAGTTATAACTTATAAGCTTTATCGATAGAATTATTTAATGAAATGTTTAATATTATGCTTAATTAAAAAATGGTTGTTGCGTTCTCTTAACTAAATTACAAAACTTCACCTTAGCTTAATGTTAATACAAAATACACAATAATTATAATAAATTATACACTGTATCATATTATACTTTAATAACAAAATTACTTTTCTATTTGTTTATTGTTAAGTGCCACGTACATGTATAGTACCTATATGTATAGTATATAATATTATGTATTCAAAATATAATAACTATTATGTCAAAATATATTAACAAACTTTTTGCAACCATTTAATGAAATACTTCGGCGTCAAAGGAAAGTATTGTAAATTCAAGCAAATAAAATCGTAATCAATGATCGACGATGACGATCCAGTAAAAGGAAATATGAAGTCACAACGTAATATCAAGTAAGTTTAGATAACACAACATTACACTATAACAGTATATACATAATATTATTATTCATACCAACAACGCCAAATCATTGGAGAGTTTCGACCTATAATATGCTTATAGAAAGAATAAACGACGGGTACATATATTATTATGTTATTATTCAAATATTTAGCTTTGCAATTAAATTTAATGCTACCGTAATAATCTTTCACGGCATTTCTCGTACCTATAATTTGTATAAATTAAAACCGAAGAATAGGATGATAAAATCGCCACGTAATTAATGTATATCTGCTTATAACCGGAAAACATACATTGCAGCGGACCGGACCAGTTCATCGTTAATAAAAACGAATAAAATATTACGTAGTTAGGTGAATTTTCCTGGACGTGTTACGCATACTGTCGTTCTATTATACTAAACATCGTATATAATATATATATTATTATTTGAATAGATTTCATGTCAAAGTGTTACGATGTCAGTGAGACGAAATTTCTGATTTTGTTTAAGACGAGCGGCAAAATTGCGACTAGCTTTTGTAAAAAACTGTCCTATACTTCTATGGGTAACCTTACGTCTCTGATTAAGGGAATGGCCTTCATCAATTAATTACAAATATATCATCATCAAATCAATTTTGATATGTTGAAAGTTGAAACACACATAATGTAGATCGATGATATAAAATGTAAAACATGATATTATTATAGCTATGGGAAATAGAATATATGAATTTAATATGTATATGTACTTTAAATGTCACTAATTATACACCTATAATGAGTATACATAATCGCAAATATATATCCATTTATTCTATAGAAAATATTATCATTTAAATTTGTAACAAAAATAAATAAATAAAAACTTGTAAGAAAAGTTAAGTGAACTGCAAAACGGCTATTATTTTATAACAAACATTCCCATCATAAGTCGTTCCTGCTATAATAATAAAGCATTACATTTTCTGAAAACAGATCTAAATTTCTAACGAAAAATACTATTCAAGATTAAATTTTCCACATTTTTACATTTAGACTCTTATACACTGTTATATAATATATTAACCCTTTCACTGCTGACCATAAAAATCGAATGCAACTGCTCTGTGCTGATTATATTTCATAAATTATTTAACTAGTATTTCCACCTTAAAAATATAGATATATACTCACTGAATCTGAAAAAATTAAAAAAAAAAAATTGGAACAAAACTTACCAAGTTATTGCTAATTGTATATCTCTTAGCCAGGGTTTCTCAAAATGGTTTCTCAAAATTCTCAAAATGATTTTTAAAATGAAAAGACGCATATGTGCGTCCATAGCATCACAGAGTTGCCTACGTTGGACGCATATATGCGTCCATAGCAGTGAAAGGGTTTTAAATAATATAATATTGGAACAATTGGAGTGCAGATAATATTCTTGAATCTAACGGTAGATATCGATTCATATAAATAAAATACATTATGCTGACTGGCGACTACCGTCTACCCTGTTTGGTGTTTATATTTTATACTAATAAAATCTAAACTTAAAAAAATATACTTACGTAAATTTACCAACAATTTTTTTTTTTTTATACAATTCCTACCGCCGGATTATGATAGGTTCGTGCACACTAATGACAGCTGTCTACTACATGATAAATCCCATACAAAGTATAAGTTACGTAAATCTCTAACGAGTGAAGTCCCAAATTAGACCCATTTTGCATAATAGATAATAATATATAGCGACGTGCGACAACCATGATATATTATTTACACGATATGCTGCAGATGTGGCGAATAAATAATTAAACCGTCTACGACGTCTTCCGCAGAGTTCCCACTTGTTTCGAAAAATAACTCTTCATAATTTATTATTTACACACCGGTCCCAGGTACAAATGTATATACACACGTATACATGTAATTATATTATTGCATAGGTAGAATAGGAAATTAAAACGAATTCGTTAAAATGTCAAAAGGTCTGTTACGTACACGGTGTGTGCGATCGTGCTCGATATGGATCCTGCATTACACGGTCGACACCATATAATAACCCCACGAAAGTGGAAATGGGACGACGAACAATGAGAAGCTTTATAATATTATATTTATGTGAGTTGCTCGACAATATTGTGCACTTTTCGGCGGTTTGCCGTTCAGAATATATTACTATAAATACGAGATCCTATATGTACGACATGACGTTTCGGTAAGAGCATTTGAATTAGATTATTTTTTTCGTTACGAAACGAAACTTATATTTATTTTCTCCATGTTCGACGATATACTTGGTTATTATTTTACTCACCATTGGCTGTGGCAACGGACGTGATGGCGACGATGGTGATTATGGCTGATAAGGATACGGCGTTTGGTCCCATCCTTGGAAACCCGACCTGAAAACAATACAATCGATCAGACATTTGCAGCTAATATAGGTATTATGGCGCGAGTGTAATATTATGAAATAATATTTTCCGCAATTTAATTGTATTATTATTAATTATTGTAAAGCGGTGCAGGTCGATACCACAATATAATAACCGATCAACGCTGTTTAATTGCAACGATGCCAAATTTTCCGGTCACATTACATTTAGGTATTTATTTCCATAATATTATAGGTATTATCAATCGAGCGCATCCGAGGCGGAGGGAGTGGCAAAAACAAAAGTGGCCCCGCTGCAGAGAAAGTGGGAATAGATTAGAGTTTTTATTCTGTACATAATATTTCATTTTCAAACAATCTGCAGATGCTATAATGTCCGCAGTGCGCATTTTAACGACCCGGAGGCACGAGTAGTGTCCGGTCGTTCGTCAAAGGTGGGAGGAAAAAAGTGAAAATTTGATAGAAAAATATTGAAATTCGTTCCCATCCGACGTGGGACCGTTTTCACACATTTTCGGTAGATACCTAATTAAATTACGTTCAACCGTTACTCGTTAGGTATTATAATTATACTATATAATCATAATTATTATTATTATCACACAGGTGCCCGTTGTCTGCTATAACAAACATTGGATGACAATGATGTATTTTCTTCGGCAATTGTATGGCGGTTTTTATTCTTTTGTCTACGTGAACACGGCGAAGAATGACCGTTGTATTGTATCATCGATCTCGTAATAATTTTTCAAAACGATTAGGTACACTTATTCAAAAACTGAAATTTAAAACTGTATGACTTGTAAAAATTTAAGTCTTTCTGAAAGATATTCGTCTAATAACTCAGGCTAACGTCGTCGATGTCCTCTCGTACGCTAATCTCCGGTAATTACGGAATTGCTATAATATAAAGTAGGTAGGTATACTTGCTAATAACAAAAATTACTTAGGTATTAGTTATTATCATACCAAAACGCTTCCTCCGAGACGTATAATTTCACGGATGAGCTTCAGTTATAATTATGTTATTATCTAATAATGTGCGATGGGTTACTATATTATTATGCTAAAACCTAGAAATAGAAACATTTTGATTTCAAAATATAGTCCAACAAAATTGTTCACGAAACTAAAATATGTAATGCCAGTTAATGTAACTATATAATTCTATAATATTATATTTTGTTCTTTTATTAATTGAAACTTTATTTACAATCTCTACAAGAAGTAAGGTACCTGCGATAAGTAGGTAAATGTTGTAAAATGTTGTTGTTGTGAGTAGGGAAATCATTCATCAACAGTATGTTTTAGCTAGTTTTTTTTTTTAATCAATTATAATTTGAGAGCGTCACATGGCCATTTTCGTTTGATCTTCTCGTTGTTAGTGATGGTGATAGATGACATACGAGAGATTAGAGGATTTTGGTGGAGCCGAGTTTGAAATTAAATTTGTTTGTAGTTGGTTGCTAGTTTGTTGACTTTTGGTATTTTTAAGTCTTTATGCAATGCGTTGTTGGTCATATACCAAGGAGCTCCAGTTATTTTTCTAAGACATAAATACTAACTGGAAGGCTTGTATATATAGGTCTTGTATTAGAACATTAATTTTCCCTCTATAATATTAAATCACTAACAATATTTAAATATCTATATGACTATAATATGGTTATTTATCAAATATGAATTAATATAATTTATATTAAAACTATCCAAAGCGCATAATATAACGTGATGGACATTTATATATTTTAATGTAAATTTATAGTTTTGAGGTTAAATTTTGAAATGTACTCTCATAAACATCGAAATTATAAAATGCATTTATTTATAGCTCATAAATATGAAAATCTCTATTACATATTTTACAAAATTAAATTATTGTTGAGATGGTTTTTAGTTCAATATGATATGTTCATAAATCATACTATAATATAATCTCAGATTAAGTCTTGTAAAGTATTGGAATAATTGTATTCAAATACTTTTTTTTTCATACAGATTAAATTTAAAAAAACTTTTTGAAAAAATTATTCGAATTCGTATCCATAATTTTTAATTCATTAAAAAATACTTTTTTTGAACTCGAAAAATAGCTTATTAATATTTCTGACAAAACAAATTTTTAAAAAATCGGGCACATTATAAGTTATAGAAAATAGTTCTTCTCTTTGAATGAAATTTTGACCCACGTTAATTTCCAAGTTAAAAAAGTAGAAAAATATAGTCTTATAGTACTCAAATACTTTTTATAGTATTCGAATATTTATGCACAATATATTTTTTAAACGTAATCGAATACGTATTTGGAATATTTTAATACTCATTTATTCAAATACTCTATCCGAATACAAAATAAAAGTATTATTTACAAGACTGCACAGATATTAGCTATTTAAAAGGTACTTTGCATTAGTCGTTTCGTTATTAGAAATTTGATTAATAATTTGAAATCTCAGTTAAAAGACAAAAGTTAGACAATTCAGAAAAGGCCATAATGACTTCCGTATGATTGCTTATAAAATAAATATACAAAACTTTACTCTTAGTGAAGTGGATATTTAATTTGGAATTGAGTCACTCGCAAATTGACGTACAATGGAAGTCAGTAGATGTAAAATATTCGGAATTATATCATATAAGTTTATCGATAGAATGGATGCAAGAATGAACCCAGAATTATTAGAAAAAAATAACTGAAAAATACTTTTCTTTAATGTCAGATTCTCTGTTACCTTCCATCATACCTTAAACACTCATATAAGTCGTAATTATATTATTTTAAATAGTTCTATACAAATTCATAGTTGAACTCCTACAACAATGTTAATTACTTCGATTTTTGTCGCGATATTTTACTGTCATAAAAATATTAAATATTGAGTAGGTATTAGTAATACAAATAATATTGACTTAAATCTTAACCTATTGCATATACTTGTATTGTATCTGCAATATATAAATTATGTTTGGAATATTATCGAGTTTAGTTGATATGTATAATTTTAAACTATAAACTCTGTAATTTTCATCTTATTGGGATGTTTATAATAAATAAACAATAACAAATCACTGATATAAGTTCTATAGAAAAACGAATAGGAAAATATAGCTCTACATATAATTTTTCTAAACACGTTTTTATTTTGGTTATATGTATACATATTATAAATATTTTAATGCGATTGAAATAATACGCCATAACGAATTTTGATAATTTTAAAATGTTCGAAACGTAAAATTTTTAATGTATTTCAGTGTTGGGTCAATAAACATTACTCGCTGGCCTCAGCGCGTTCTTGTTAAAGGTTGTTATCATTGAACGAATTCGGTCCTATGCGTACCTAGTGAGTGTGATAATAATATTATACTATAATATTACACTAATTCCGTAATTTTGTAAACATAGTTATTTACTTCATTATAGTGTGAATAAACACACACAAATTACATTTCAATATTATATGGTATTATTTAACAAGGTTATATTTATATAATACAAATATTACTGACAAGTGACAACTGTGATATAAATCATAATAACTATTAAGAAACTACAAATTGTACTATATATTTATATGATCTTTAATAATTATTATATTATTGAAGACAATTTCGTTGGAAATTGTCATTATTATAATCACATTATTTTACAAGTTACAGCATAACATGATGGACCCCGAGAAAAAGCGAACAAATTTAAAAGCGCCAATAGAGCAAATATCTAAAAATTATTTTTGAAAATCTAAAAAATAAAGAAATTAACATCGTATTAATATAAAACTTAAATTGTGTTCGATATTATATTATACCACCTAACTATGAGCTTACAATAAAACGCTGATTGCTTAAAAAAAAACTCATCCCAAAAATATTCAACAGAAATAAAGAACTGTGAAGTTAATAACCTAAGTATTGGACATGCCCATGTAAGTGTATAACCCATGTCCATAACAGAATAAAAAAAAATGAAGTGGCTGAGAACATAACAAATCAATCACAGTACGTCACATCACACTTACAGATTATAAAAAACACTCAACGTCGGAGAAAAGAGAACACCAAAATTAAACAAATCTATCTACACAGAATCACCAGCAGATTGTTTTTCGTATATTTATCTGAAATCAAAAGTGTTTATCAAATTTAAACATCAATTAAAAATAATTGTCGAAATTTATCATATGTCTAATGAAATTATGAAACTATAGCAAAAATAATCATCTTGAATATTTGAAAAATATTATTAAAAAATTTGTTTCAAATGCTCGATAAAAATTATTACATTATATCAATTTAAAATTACAAAACTTCTCCTTAAGCCAACTTTATACATTATTATTTTGTTATATTAAAAACCAATACAAAATTACTTAGATATTAATATATTTTTTTTTTTTTTATAACGTAAGTGTGTAATTTATCGAAACATTTATGCCTATTTAAAATTAACATTATTGATGTCCGATAAAATTTTTTTTGATATATTTAATATAATATGTTTGTATTAGAAAAGATAAAAGCACAATTGATAAATTAAAATTTGAAAACGTAATATGAAAACGTATACATTTTCAGAGGCCGGAAGTAGCACAATACTTGATTTGGAGCAATTGTTTTGGTATTAGCCAGTGCGACCCAATAGTTTTTCATCCTAAATACCTATTAAATGTGAATTTCGCCAATTTGGAAGTAATGTTCTACAATCTTTTGCAGTTTCTAACCAATAAAATATCAATAATTTATCATTTAAATTGAAATAAATAGGATTTGTTCTAAATTTATAAATGTATACTTCAAACAATTGTAATCATATTTTGTGGGCAATGTGGCTGTAGATTATTATATTTAACAGTATCTTTTGAGATTTTCCTTTTCAGACCTACTAATATTATTTTTCTGGCCGGAAAAAAAGTATCGCATTATAAAGCACCCGACATAATACATCATCTGCATAACAGTACAGCGATGATTGTGGAGAACATGATCTTTTTATTCTGTAGTGTTAGCGCACTACTACATGTCTACATCAAAACTGACTTCCAACCACCGGCATCAGCGTGGACAGCGGTTATATTATGTTATCCGAACGCAATTTATTCCAACGTCATACGACGACAACATAATATTATGATATGGAAAAAAACATATTTTTTTTTTTTTTTTGGACACCCGAATCGTGTAATATTATATCCACGAGCACAAGCAACAAAAGCAGCTATATAACGTATACCTACATTATATATTGTAATAATATAGGTACATAATGTATTTTCCCGATACACACACGCGAGAGCGCATTATTATGATTGGTTTTTTTTTTCCTCCGATCCGTCTGGAATATAACCAGGAAAAGTATCGATATAATAACATGACGATGAGTATGCGCATTGTACATGCACTGCACATTATGATATTATAATATTATATCAGGCGATAGACGTTTTACCATATTATCAACAACGTTTTCATGTAACCTGATTGACGTTTTTGTCGGGATATTGTCATAATCCGATTACTGGATTAAAGTGTATAAAATATAACAATACAATATTTCATATATATTTATTATAAACTTATTGGTTTATGCTTTATTTTTTTATTTTTTTTTTAACCAGTCTGTGTTTGTTTGAAAGCAAAGACCGTCATCCGGATCGGACAACCTGAAGCGGTGTTCGACAATTTGATAAGCGGTCCGAATAGTCTGATGCGTAAGTATAATACACATATCTA